GGGAGAATAGTGCAACTAGGAGAAGATACTCCGGCGTCTTCGTCGCCGTATTCCGCCGTCGATGGTCGTCTGTTCACGAACCTGGTATAATAACTCTCTCCTTGCTCTGATCTTGCGCTTATATTTCTGTCTCTTTCTCATCCTACCTACTCTAGATCAAAATCACAATTTTTCTGGGTTTGTGTTTTTTTTTTCATATCTTCAGATTACCACCTCTTCACCTTCTAAGCTTCCGGTGAAAACCCTTCAGAAAGGAAGAAGCCGAGGACAAGCCATAATGTTTTTTTTCTCTAGTTTTGTAGCTAAAATTCGAATTTGTGACTTTCTAAATATCATTTGATCAGTCTTCGATGCTCTGTGATTGGTTTGTGAATTGCTAAAATTCGAATTTGTGAGTTTCTAATTTTGTTGTGTGAAAGGATATGTGGAATGACAAATTGACAACGAATTTGTTAACGTAGCTAAAAGCATCAGGTAATGTAGCTCGAATTTGAGAATATGCTTATAAATAAGAGAACCATGTGAAATCTTAAATTTGAGAATATGCTTAATGTTCTGATTTTGTTTCATTTTCACACAATACTTGTAATGGTGAATATTGCAAATCGATCGGACGGGACAGGGACCAAGGTTTCAGAACTAGTTCGTTGAGAACCACAATTGCAGAAAGGTTTTGGATTTTTGGGCAACTGTTATTTCTTTTGTTCATCAATATTCGAGTCGAGATTCGTGAGCATTCTGAAGCGATTATTGTACTCGTCCAATTACTCAACGAAATATGGAAGGAATCCGCCAAAAATACAAGGTTTCTCGTGTTTTGGCCGAGTTTAGTGGGGATTTGTACATGTCTCGAGCGGATGCTGCGTTGAAAGTGTTGCATTACACATGGGAGAAAAATCTGTGTGCGAGTACATGCAATTTCCTTGTTTAATGGTCGAATAGATCTGTGGTATTTAACTGAGGTTTTTTTTTGTTTTTAAGGAATATGAACAAGCGGTTATTAAGCGAGTTCGATGTGATAAAACCCTTCAAAAGCTGTTTTTCGACGAGGGTGAAGAAAAGGAGTGGATCAGATTCTTAGATATTCCGGCAGCTCTCTCGCTAGGCATTTTCCTGATCCAAGAACAGCTTCAAACAAGGGTTTATTTTCCTGATCCAACATTTCATGTGGCTTGTTCAAACAAGGG